TCTGCACCAGGGGCCTTATTAAGATCCATATACATGAGAGCTGCCTCGATTTCATCCTCATGAACTGGTTTTGTCAACTGAGCATTCATTTCTGTTGATAATGAAGAAGGGATCCCTTGAAGAATGCTTCTATCCACCTCTAGATTGGAAGATCTGAAAATCCCTTAAAAATAGAGTTGCACTTCATCTAAAATCTCCTTGCTGTTCTGGCACTGTTTACCCTAGGATTTAAGAAGTTTCCCAAGCTGTTAATTTTTATTATTTGGTTAACACTTGATTGGAAAAACTTAGTATTCCTATCTCCCTCTTTTAACCAAAGAGGCCTAGACTTATTTGTAGCGCCCCTTTCGATTTATATGAATTCTCGTATTATTATATTTTTTCCTGCTTGCATTTATTTGTTTTTATGTGCTCGTTTTATTTATGTGATTCCTTCGTCTTGCATGATTACCTTGTCTCTGTATTTATATGTTATTCCGTACTTTATTTATTTATTTTCTTGCACTATTAGGATTGATTGCTTTTATTCATTATATTTTTTGCTTGCCTTCGATTAATATTATCTGCTCGTTTTATGTGATTGCTCTCGTTTGATTTAATTGCTTTGTTCTTGTATTATTATGTGAGTGTCTCTATTTTTATTGTTATGTGTATCACCTAATTTAGATTAACCTTAGTTATTAGATTAAATCGTTCGGCAACTTTCGGTTCAATCGCGTAGAACTGTTTTCGATCCGTTTTGACTCGTTCTTGAGTCATTTTTAATGTGAACTTTGAAATTTTATTTTTGGCCCAATTTCTACATTATTTTTGGCCCAATGTTGCTCCAAGACCCGACCCAAAACTTGTGCAAAACCGCCCTTTTACCATCGGTTTTTCTAGTCCTTTTATTTTTTGAATTTCAAAATGTGGTGAGGAATATTTTTGGAAGGTTGAATCAAATCCCCACCACCACATATCACCCGTGTTTTTCCCCTCATTAGAGGCTTTAATGAGCCTTTATTTGGTATGATTATATCTCTTTTAAATTCTATTGATTGCTTGACTAGGACTTAAGGATATTCCTTCATTTCCTCGTCCTTACTATACGTTCTTTTCCCCTCATTTGCCTAAGGAAAAATTATGGTTCCTCACCTCTCTTTACTCTCCAAACCTCCCAAACATTGAGAAAAACTCAGAAAATTTGCCCTCCATCACCATTTCTCTCGGCCTGCTTCCCAGCCGCGCCAGCCTTCCCACAGAGTAGGCCCGCACGTGCAGGTCCAGCAGTAGCGCCTTCACGCCGCGCTTCTCCTCTATCAGCGGCGCCTAGCCATGCACCACGTCCCCATCGAGAGTCCTGCTGCAGATCCTCGTCCCCATACCTCTGTTCAACCCTTGTTCATCGTGAGCAGCCCCAAATTCAAATAGATCTAGCCTATTTCATGTGGAATTAAGTAAATTTGGAACCCCTGTTTTCTTCTAATATGATTTGGAAACTTGGATAAATTTTGGAGAAGGGTTGATGCCCAATTTTGATTCTTAAAGCTTATTGATCCTTATGATTCCAAAATTTTTATAAAATAATTCACCCGTGCCTTTGCCTTGAAAATTTATGTGTAAACCCTTGACTTGATGGTTAGTATGCTGTTATTATTTTGTGGCTTAATTCGATCCCTAGCTTCTTGAACCGAGGCCATTTCTGAGGCCCAGCAGCCAGGCCGCAGCCNACTTGTATGCTCCTAAACCTCTTCAACCCCCGGTAGCCGTGCTCGCGTACCCTCTGCCATTCGCGACGCCCGCCAGCCAACCCGCAGTGTGCCTAGGCAATGCCGGTCGCCCTCAGCAGCTCCCAGACGCCCGCAACTGCTCTCTAGCACCCCCAGCATGCAGCCCCGTGCCCGTGCGCCCCCATCTAGTGATTTCAGCGAGCCACCAGCAGCCACCCAGTGCACCCACATGAGCTAGCGCTCGCTCGCTCGAGTCCAACTGAACCTGATTAGGATATTATATAGCTGAAGAATAGACCGGTTTGCATCATCGGTCGAGCAACCTCGAAGTGGAGAAAACCAGATTGGGAGAAGGATGATCGACCAAAAAGAAGGAGATCGAGCAGAATAGCAGAACTGGTCGAGGATCGACCAGAAGGGAGGAGATCGAGCAGAATAGCAGAATTGATCGAGGATCGACCAAAGGGGAGGAGATCGAGCACTCAACAGGTGAAGAGCAATCTAGAGCGTGGTGTGAATGCGAGAAGGCGCGTGGATGACGTTGGAAGATCCCAACGGCCTGCGCAGAGGAATAATCTCCCTCAGCTTAGAGGGACACGTGGCGAGAATATATTGGTGCAGAATGATAGTGGCGAAAGCCACCCCTGACATCTCTGACACACACACACTATGTGTGTACGGACGGGCAGTACGGGCAGGACAGCTCACCAAAGCCGAGCAGTTTTTAGGGCAGGTATCTCACTCCTATATATAAGGGAGTGGGTCTTTTCTTGTGACTTACGATTTATCCATTCTTTACTTTGGAAAATTGAACAAACACATACTGACTTAAGCATCGGAGGCTCTTCACCGGAAAACCCCTCCAATGTGAGAGTTCTGTGCAGGAACGCGGCGTTCTACCGGCGAGGAAGAAGGAGGCAAGCTGATTACAAGCCGGTCGGAGTGTTTTGCGTTACCAGAACCCAATTTTTATTTCTCGAGTTGTTTGATCAATTTTCGAGCCTTTGACCTTGTTTTTCGTGTAGAACCCATTTTTGACCTTATTAAATTATTTTTTCAAGTTTTTACTTAAACTCCGAGAGTTCCAAATTTCACAAAATTTCACGAACTACTAAATCGATAATTTTCAACTAAGTATGAATTTCTGTTGAAATTCCTGATTTTTCAAGGTAATTATTTTGAAATATTATTTTGATTAAATGTAGGTGTTTGAGGAGTCGAACCCTATGCCTACGTTTTGTTGATCATTGTGTCTTCGTCTACCTCGACTGATCAGGTGGGTGTTGATAAACCTTACCATTTATGTTATTCTCTATAATCTTCTTGGCTTGAAAAGCAATGTATGTGTATGAACCATTAGTCTATGAGAGTGTTCTCCCATTGATGGAGTTTCGAAGGTTTTCTTATTTGTGCATATTGAGAGGTTTCTCCCGTTGATGGTGTTCCGACGGTTTAACTCCAGTGAATGGGCTTGTCCCGATGGTTAGAGGTGTACACACGAGCGTAGGGCGGTATAGGAGGTAGACTAGATGATTTTTGTTCAAGCTGCGATTATGATTTTAAGTCATTATACTGAATAGACTACATGGTATTTCCACAGTGAGCTAGTTGGTTTGCTTATCCCCACTATTTTTCCCCCCTTTCAGGTTGAGCTGGTGGTGGGGGCGAAAGATGGGCGATTGGGGTCAGACTTGCTTGTTATATACGAACTGTTTATGCTTCAGCTTTGTTATTATTATTGTTTTATGCCAGACTGATATGATGTTTTGGGATTTTGGATTAGATTATGAAACTGAGTATTTTGCATGTTTTTGAATTAAGAGATGGAATTAATGATATTGAGATGACTTTGGTTTGAGTATGCTATACTTGTCTGGTTTTGGAAATTTTGCTAAGTGTAATTTGGGATGGTTTATTCCCCAACGGCTTGAGTTGGAACTTAGGCTAATGAATCGAATCGGAATTGAGTAATACCCGTTAAACATTTTAAAATGATTTGCGAAAATTTAACTTTTATTTTTGTAATATTCGGTATTGTTCTTATAAAAATAACGGGATTTTACATTAATTTCTTCCAAATAGTTCTTCCGCTTTGTATGCTATGTTCAACAGGTTCTTTTCACTATTCCAAGCCTTCCAATCCCTAAAACCCCCTTGCTGGCTTAGATGAAAGAGTTTGACTTTGCATTCCTGAATTTTCTTTGGTGAATTATTCTGGTTTCCTGCATTCCACTTGATCAGGGTCACTCTAACATTCCTGTTCCTTTGCTACTGACTGAAAACAGTTGGTCCACTCACATTGGTATTCCAAGCATCATTTACCACTTTCTTGAAACCCCTCAATCTTAGGGCACCTAGAATCAAAGTAAAACCTCTTCTTACCTCTATCAGCCAAAAGAATCCATATCTAGAACTAACAAGCTATGATCAGATGCTGAGATAACATTCTACTTAACTAAGGCATTTGGAGATTTGGCAAACCATAGAGGAGAAAGAAAGAACCTATCAAGTTTTTCTTCAACAAAGGAAGAACCTTGTCTAAGATTAGACTAGGTATATGGATGACCCACCCATTTAGGCTCAACACCCTAAATTCCTTCCACAAAAACCATAAAGTTAACAAAAGAAGACTCATCCCTGACCAACCCATCTTTTTTCTCCTGGTTTGCAAGGAGCTCATTGAAGTCTTGTCCCATAAATCAGAGGTCAACCCACTAAAGAGAATGACTGAGCAAAAATCTCACTGAAGAAATCTGAAGGAGTTATTAGTACTTACATAAACAAATATTTACATTGGGTATCAGGCTCCCTATTGAACTTGAATTGAACTTGGATACAAAATTCAGAAGGAAAGAGACTGAGAATTTCTACTTTACTAACCAATAAAGGAAAAGACCACCCCTAAAACCTAGAGGGTCAACTGAAAACTACATATTCCCCAATTTCAACTTGTTGAAGACAAAGTTAACAAAACTAGATTCATTTTTTTTTTTTTTTTTTGGTTTCAGAAAGAAAAAGGAAGTCTGGTAGGTGAGATCTTAAGATCGCTTTGGTTTGGTGTAAAGGTTCCCCAACCCTCTACAATTCCCCACACAAACCTTCATTAAAACTGGTGGGACCAATTAGGGTTGGCCTCCTCCACCACGTTGCTTTATCTTTGCCAGATCCTCTTAATCTTTTAGCTATGCTTTTTGACTCCTTTTCATTTTCAGCAAGAACTTCAAGATTTGTTTTAAGAGTTTGGTTCTCACCAAAATCACTTATTTTAACACTTCTGTTATCTAACTGCATTCATTCTCCAGAAGGAGATTGCAATCCCTGTGGTCTTCTTTTGAAACTTCTATGGGTTCTAGGATGTCCTAGCCCACTTTTAATAGCCTTAGTGTTAACTTGAACCAGTTCAGAGCAAGGCTGATTTGTTGAAATATACTGAGGGCAGGGAATTTGTTCTTTGAAATGAATCACTTCCTTAGGATTATCCTCTAACAAGTTATAAGAAAGTGAGAAATCCTTGTTTCTAACCTGGGCTTCTACAGATTAAGTTCTCTCCACTATGGTTAGAAGCACCTGTTAATTGAATTCCCACTAACATTGGCCTCGGATTCTAGACTCTGACTTTTGAGAGGTTTCTCCCCGACTGTTTGACTATCCCCAAAACTAGGTTTAGACTCTCTCTAGCAACATCTAGATATGTAGAGGAAGATTAAGCTCTGAGCCAGTCTTCAAATTGCCCTAAGCTAAGATTGTTTTACTTATGTCTTCTTTTTTCACCTGACAACTCCTATGCACATGGCATATCTTCCCATAGTAAAAACAAATTATAAGAGCCCTCATACCTGAATTCTACCCACCTGCTTTCTTGCCTTAGCTTTATGTTGATTCCTCTTAGTATAGGCTCATTCAGATTAATTTCAGCCAATACTTTTGACTAATCTTCCAATATTTTTCCCCGAGTCAGTGACACAGACATCATGAACCTTATATCTATTGTTTTCCCTAATTTCAGTCCTACCTATGTTGATACCGAATGGAAAGGGATTTCTGATTTGAATCCATGAGTTAAACCTCTGTTCCTCTGCAGCAAACTCGGTATTCTTTGAATCCCATTTCATTAGGAGGAGGTATTGCCCATCGAAATTCCTCTGCAGCAAACCTCTGAAGTTCACCTTTTTTTTTCTTTTTTTTTTTAATCTCCAAACAGCTTGCCTATTAAGCTTAATTTACATTCCTTAACCCCTAAAGTTGTATCCTCTTTTGAAACCGTGACTCCTTGCACTTCCTTTTCTGATAAAACAAACTTCTGAAGTTTTTCCACTACCTCTTCTTCCATCTTCGGCTGAGCCCTCCAGAAATGAGCTCCGATAAGCCACCCTGAACTCAGATGCTTGGAAATGTGCAAATAAAGACAAGAAAACACAGACAAGAAAGGCACACCAACAAAACAGAAAGACGAGAAGTTAGAAAGGCAGATAGGTACATGGAAAATACAAACAACTAGACCTAAATCAACAAACAAAACGATGAACTACAAGGGAAACAATTCCTAAGGAAGGAACTGAAAACTCTAGAGAGACCTAAAACCCTAACATTACGGGGATGAAAAAAAGGGTCATATTACTATCCTCATTTTTTGAAGAAGTCCATAACTTTATCAGCAATTAAGAAAGAACAAAGAAGTAAATTTTCATTGTTTTTCAACAATATATTATGATGATGTTGTATAGTGATGATGGCTGATTATTTTTTTTTTCTCGAAACGATAAAATGTATATACTCAAACAAAAGGCATACAGTGTTTGTACAAATCGGAGACCAACGGCCTACAAAATCCCACACTAGGCTATGAACACCCAAAGGCAATAAAAGCTATCAAACCTAACTAGAGTTTATAAGCTAGATAATGGCAATGTGTAACCCGTTGAACCCATAAGCTAACCCCAAACTCTATGCCCCTAAAGGGAGTTCAACCATTGCACGAAGGCCTAGAAGAACTCCTATACAAAATAAAGACAGACAACATAATTACATAACCAAACTAGCGATCACAATAAACTACCACTAAGCAATAGAATGAACACTACCAACTCAGCAGAAAACCCATGAACTACTACTGCCCAGCTTAAACCGCAGCAAACTCTCTCCATTGCTTCCCTGCTATCTTCACTATTGCTCTGTCATCCATCCAGGTTTCTCTAAACACCCACAAATTCCTAGATTTCCACAACCACCAGAGTATATATGAGGAGAGTTGAATTCTTGCCTATGATGTTGCAGTTCTATTAATACTACACACACTAGACCACCATCCCTGAAAGCTTTCAGTTTGAGAATGCAGGCCATCCCAACAAACTTGTGAAAGCCTCCAAAATCTTTTTTCTCTGTGACACTCAAAAAATAATTGCTCTATTGTTTCAGTTGCTTCCCCACAGGTTTTACAGATACAATCTATGTCCATCCCTCTCTTAATTAAATTGCAGTTAACAGACAGAGTATTTGTCAGGCACCTTCATTGAAAATGCTTTAATTTACCTTGCACCTTGGGTCCCCAGCTTCTTTTTATGGTTGCTAGTCTACAATTTTCCATTTTTCAGCCACCAACTTGGAATAAGTAGTGGATACTGAGAAGGCTCCATTTGTCCAACTGTCCCATAATAGTCTGTCAAGTGTTGAGGGATCCAGTCCTTTGATACTGAGAATAGCTTGAGCTTCTGTCTCATTAAAGATCTCTTGAATCAGTGTCTGCCTGTTGGGTCCAACTGGACCCAGTGTCTGCCTGTTGGGTCCATCTTTAATGTCATATCTTGCTCCTTCCTTCAATGAATCTCTTACCTCTATCCAGCTGTTCCATAACCATGAGCCATTTCTCTTCTTCTTTACTATGAATAAGTTTCCTCTGGGTAATATTTGGATTTGAGGACTTTGCTGAGCAACAAATTTGGTCTTGTTAGAATCCTCCATAGCTGCTTGGCAATAAGTGCTCTGTTGAAGGGGAGAATATATTTGAACCCTAATCCACCTTTTCCTTGGGAAGTGTAAGGTAGTTCCAAGGTTTCCAATGGATGGCTCTTTTCTGATTCTTTTTTCCATCAGAAACTTGCAATGTTTCTGAGATTTTATGGCATAGTGTTTTGGGCAACAAGAAGCATGACATGGCATATAAAGGAAGAGCTGAAATGATAGACTTCAGCAAAGTCTTCTTACCTGTACGAGAAAGATACCTATTTTTCCAAGAAGCAACTTTAGCAACCACATTCTCTTGAATAAACTGAAAAGTTTGAATCTTTGATTGCCCAATACCCAAGGGGAGTCCCAAGTATCTCACAAAGTTGTGACAGGTAATACCAAGCAGAATCTTACAAATTTGGTTCTTGGGGTGAGATGGTATATTTTTACTAATAAACATGGATGATCTCTGAAGATTTATATGCTGGCCAGAGCACTACCTATATTTGTATAGAATGTTGAGAATGAGATATGCTTGATGTATATCTGCTTGGACAAAAAGTAAAGTGTTATCAGCAAAGAACAAATCGGTTAATGTAGGACCATTTCTGCAGAGTTTAAGCCCTTTAAGGTTACCAGAAAAGCACTCAGCTTTGATGAGATGAGACAGAATCTCTGAAATTAAAATGAAAATATAAGGGGACAGTGGGTCCTCTTGTCTGTGTAACGCCCCACTTTGATTTGACGAAAATCCATGGCTTTTTAGAAAAATCAGTTTAATTTTTCAAAATTCATTTCAAACATTTATGGCATTACTCATTTAAAATCAACATCAACATTCATATCAATAATATCAACCCCCAAAACGGGTTTCATCACAAGTCATCAATCACCCAAATCGGGTTTCATAAATTCATCACAGTGTCAAAGGGGCATCTCTCCAACATTATTTTAAGTCATTATAAGATCTCAATTTCATAAATTCCCAAGTTCATAATATCTCAAGTTCATAAGATCATAAATAAGTTCAAGTTAGCGGAAGCAACTAATAAATGATCTGGTCATATAGACCGACCACCACTCGCTCCACTACGCCGTGCCCGCACCTGCTTAACCTGCATCTGTGAAGAAAAAGTGGGGGTGAGCACATATCGAATCCGTGGTGCTCACCACTATACAATAAGCAATAATCAAAAGATTAGACAGGTATGGTCGCAGCATGTATACAAATCAATTAATTATCCCAATCTCCTATCCCAAGTTTGTTCTCATGTGCACACCTATCTCAATAGACCACTGCCGGTATACATATCGAATGCCAAGGCCCTTGCCTTGGTCTTACAACGATGCCCAGCCAGTAGGAGTCACCCCCGACGACCGAGCACTGCCTTGGTGTAATATCCCATTCCGTTATTAATAAAAGTAATTATTTTAGTTCAGTTTGAACTAATTACTTTTATTAATAATGCTCGATCCTAGTTCGAGCCCAGTTATTAAGTTATTCAGTTAAAAGTTTGACTTTAAGTTGAAAGTATTCTCGGTTAAATTTTATTTAGTAATCGAGCCAGTTCAGTAATTAATTAATTCTGGTCTGTTTATTTTTTATAAATGGATTTATAAGATGGGATTAATTATAACAAGATGACAAATAATAATAAAAAAAAAATCGAGTATATTTTGATTACTCGTTCAAGATAAGTCGTGAACTGAACCAAGCATGTTCGGTTACGAGTTAAGATTATTACCGAGCAAATGATTCTCGAGCCTAGCTTAGTTTTGAGTATTGATCAAGTTATAAGGATTAATTACACATTAATGTTTATTGAAGTGAAATAAGTTATTTAAGATGAAGTTCAAGTTCAAGTAACATTCCATTTTATTTAGCTAAATGGATGTAAATTTGGCCATTTCTAGTTTGAATGAGAAAGAAAAAGAATAATGAGTCGAGACAAGTTAGGTCTCGAGTTCGGTTAAGTATCCATGAACATTTAAGTTATAAATGTTCAAAGAAGTGAGAAATTTATTTAGACATTTTAGTCTATTTAAATTATTAGAGAGAAATATGAAATTTTTAGAATTTTCGTTTTTTTCGGTTTTCGATTGTAACCGGAATTTATGTCCGATTTCAGTTCCGAGAAATAAATTAAATTATTTTCTCTCTATTTTTTTAGTAGACTACAAGACAAGAAAAATTTTTCAGCATAAAAAGGAAAAATGCCAAAAGAAAAGAAGGAAATTCGAAAATAGTAAGAATTTTCGATTTTACGGTAACTGTTCATTTTAAGTCAGAATTTGGTTCCGTAAATTGGAGAATTTCACTAAATCTCGAATTTAATCATTGAGATCAGATTAGGATCAGAAGAGGGGCCTTTCTAAGCATTGACTATGGGTTGGAGAAGTTTACAAGTTAAGAATACTATTTATTATCTATATTTATTTTTACAAGTTTGTATTGTTTATTTTGTTAATATCTTCACTCAATTATAATGTCTTGAAAATTTTGCCTATAAATTGAGGCCTAAAACGCAGAGTTTTGACACCAAAGAAAAGTTTTAAAAGTAATATAAGTTTATAAGAGAGAAATAAGTAGTAGAAATTTTGGTGGAGTGAAGAATTTGAAGTGAAGAATCAAGTTTTTATTCTAGCAAGAAGGAGGTAATTTACTTATCTTGAAGTTATATGCTTAAGTTCATGTCTTGATGATAAGTTTACATGTTTATAAGTATGTATATCATGATTAGAAGTTGAGCGTTGTTTATATACTGCGAGTGTTCACACTAGGGGCGGTACCGTAATTACTTGGTTTGTTGCGTTCACACTTAAAGAGTTGGTTAATTACGGTACCGCCCCTAGTGTGAACACTCGCAGTTGGTTAATTACGGTACCGCCCCTAGTGTGAACACTCGCAGTTGGTTAAACAACCTCGTCCTGCTAATTAAGTGTGAGCAGGACGAGGTTGTTTATATACTGCGAGTGTTCACACTAGGGGCGGTACTTATAATTGATCATATGAATAAAAAGAGTTAAAGTTGTTCAAGATCAATTATATGATATATGTGCTTGATTTGAATGAGATTTTGATAAAGAAAAGAATAAGCTGGAAAAGTATGATTTACATGATAAATTCTTGTGTAAAAGAGCAGTTCATGAGAACAAGAATTATGTCATTTGGCATAGTATAGCTTGAGTTATAAATTTTTGAAGTTAAGCATGCAAGTTGAATTTTATGTTCTTTATTTCAGCTGTGACTTTAAAATTGTAATAACTCGAGATATACACATGATAAAATTATAAAATGTTTACGACATGCTTATATATGGGTTAAGAACATGACTGCCAAATTTCATGATTCTATGTTGAGAAATGAACGAGTTAAAATATTTATATGGCATACATGTCAAGATGATTTTATATGCAAGAGTATTCAGTATATGGTTGAGTTTTTAAAATGGAATTTTTAGAAAAAATTCTTATATGAGTGATGAGCAATTTGACCAAGTTTCAGCTCAATATGTTGAGTATGTGATTTTATGAAAATTTTTTTAAATCTCACATATTAAGAACATGATGAGAAAGTTGAGTATGATATGATTATTTTCACTTTCAAGATAATTAAGTGAAAAATAAGTCAATATCTAAATTTTGAGAAGTATGATGTATGATGAATTAAGTACTTGATTGAGTGAAAGTAAGTTAAGTACTTAATCAAGTATAATGTGAAATATGGTTATTTTTCACATTGGAGTTATGGCATGTTATGAAACATATTGATGTTTAAGAAGATATGTTTTATAAGGTTAAGTAATTAACCTTGAGTAAAAGTAAAAAGTGACGTTAAGTATAAACTTGAGAATAAGCAAGTTTAAGAATAGGATAAGTTAATAATCCTAAGAACTTTTTGAGTATACGAGCATAGTACTTAGTATATTTGTCTATATTTGATTTAACTTGCAGATACAGTACCAGTACAGAACTTATTGAGTTACAAACGATTTCAAAGATGAAAAGGTGGGGACCCTGAATGGGTAGCACATTGAGTACAATATGTGATATGGGATGAGGAGACCATCAGTTGTCTCAAAAGTTATATCCCGAAGTTTAAGGTTTATTACGCTTGGGATGAGGAGGCATTAATTTGTCTCAAAGATTATATCCTAAGTTCTGATGGAGGCGAGACGGGCCTGAGAAATATCCATCAGAGTGTGCACACGTATCCGATTAACCATCGGCCAGAGAAATGAAAGTTTAAGTTTAAGTTACCGATCAGATATCGGTTTATGATTATCCATATTCGTTACTCACCCCCATGAGTTTAGTTTCAGGTAACAGGTTAACGAGGAGGTGTGAGAAGAGCCGTGTGGTGTGGATCGTGGAAGAAAATGAAGACAAGCTTTAATGTGGACATTTATAAAGTTTGTATAATTAACCACGTTTCAAATATTTCTGCTACGCACATTAATTATTAAACTTGCATTTTAATGAATTTCAGATTTCAAGTTTTTATGAGAAATATGATGATAATATGTTAAATGCAAGTTTAAAGGAAATCTGTTTTAATAAGTCTAGAGAAGTATTAGACAACAGTTTAAAGATAAACGAATTTTCAAGAAGACGAGTTTAGTAGCATCCCGAGTAAGTTGCAATTATTTCGAAAAAGTTAAAGTGATATCGAAGTAAAAGGTTGCGAAAAAGTTACTCTGATAAGCGGGGTGTTACACTTGGTCTTTCAACGGGGTACTTATCACCAACCAAGCATAGTGCTGGTCTAACAAGC